CTAAGGCAAGATGGATGTCCATGATAACCCTAACCCATCCCCTGGATGAGATGGAAGTTGATTAGGCTCGATGATAGAAGGATCTCTACGCGGTGCTGCAGAAGATGCAGTGGAGACAACTGATCTTCATCAATAAGTGTTTGAAATTCGGCAAGATGACTTTGTACAAAGGGCTTACTAGATTTGGAGGTTAATTAAGAAAGATCTGGTTCTGGTCGAGGCAGCCAAGGATCAGTTTGTCAACTACCTGCTATTGAATTAAGATATAAGTGTAATTACAATATTATCGAAAAAAAAAATTATTTTCCTTTCACCACAATTTTTTTATTGATCTGATGTTTTCTCTCTAAATCCTCATGTGATGTTTCATCTTCCATTGGTCCCTATAAATAGAGGCTGACAGGTTCATTTGTAGGCTTAGTGTGTTTTTTCTTTGAGTTTTTGTTACTCGATTTTCCTTATTTCCTTTGGCTTCTAATTTCATTTGTTTCTTCTTTATCTCATTTTCTGATGGCTCCAAAGTGAACTCCACAAACCATTGACCTGATAGTTGCGACCGAACCTTCAATTTTTTCCCCGTTCAAGCCTATATGGAGGAGGCTTTTGTGGTTGACTCAAACATCAAATTTAGAGCCACTAGCCGGGATGAGAGGGCACCCGATAGGTTTCGAGATGATCTGGCAGTTTACAGAGACCAATTGAGGTACAGAACCTTATGTTATGAATTTAGGGCACTTTTCAGTCGATATGGAGGCAGTCCGACATATAGCAAGTCAAAACTTCATAGATGTGATAATGACTTGTGTACTTTTCTACCAGCAAAAAGGAATTATATGGGCAAACGACCTGTTCAGTCACATATTCTCCTTCAAAGTGGAGGCTGATGGATACATATAGTTCAAGATAGTCTGTCGATTTCAATTCTTAAGCTTGGAGAATAAGGTGGAGGATCAAAAGTACAAATTCTTCATTTCTTCGTCCACTTAGAGCTGGGGCTTCAGGACTGTACCGACTAGGGATGCCTTCAAGAGGAAGAAGGGCACATATTACTTCTGGGTCAAGGGGGTGGAAATCGATGGACAACTACTCTTAGTTCCCTAGTACATTGATCCGGTGACTGTGAATAAGATTTTATATCTTAGAATTTTAGGCTGAATGACGATACATTCATGGACCACTAATGATGTAGAAGAGAACAAGCAAGAGGTGATAGCTGCAGCTCAAAATACCTAAACAAAGACTAAAGCTGAGTGTCGGGTGAAGATTGTTCCTACTCAGAATTCATGGTGACCAAATGAAGGTCGGTCGAGGCATACGACGACATAGTCGGCTCCGTAGGTGACGACTTTCTTTTCTCTTTCTACAACCATGGTGATTTAACTAGTGAACTAACCATCAAAGATATGAGGCATTTGTCACATGCTAATTCTAATACATATTTATTGGGTGAAGCTCCTTCAAGCATGGGTTGGCAGCAATCAAGGGAACCATCCAGTCGCCCAAAAAAGAGTGAGGTTGAGGAGTCCTCTAAAGAAGGGGCGAGAGCACAGTCAGCTTCGCCTCATTGTGATACTTTATTCATTATATTTCTGCCAAGCGCAAGGCCAGTTAACCTGCTTCTACTGCTCATACTTAGTAAGAGACAGACTCGGAGGCGGTTTCTCTAAAGGAGGTACAACATAGAAATAGAAAGGAGCTAGGTGCTGAGTTGGCTTCTCCACCTCTCTCCTATCAAAAAAAGAGAAAGGGTTCCCCAGTTAACTAGGTTCCCTCTAAGAGCAAGCAACTAAGATCTGGAATCCCTCCAATCGCTAGTACACTACTATCAACTAAAAGTGTACTGATACAATGGTTTCTCCTCGACTGAGTTCTACATGTCCACTTTTGTTGAAGTGATCTGATCATGTGCTTTTGCAAAGTCTCTTTGGGAGCTTAAGTGAATTGAGCTTTACAAGAGGGTCTATTGCTGCCATCTAAAGGTGTGGGATTCTTCTCATTTTCATTCCATGGCATTGGACTGGACAGAGATGAAATGGGTTGCCGCATCGGAAAGGGTTGATACCTCAGCGATGCTTGCTAAGAAGGTTGAGTTAAGAGGAAGTTTTCAACAGCGGAGGAGGAATTGTCACTCTAACAAATCTTCTATCAATCACCCAATAAGAGAACAAGGAGGTAAAGGCACAGATGGTGATGATGAAGACTAAGGAGAAGTTCTTCGGGGTGCTCCTTTCTTACCCGCAGAAGGAAAAGCTTTTGGGCGAGCAGCTTCGACTTGGTAGTATCACGGTGATTGACTAGTTCATTTGGCTGGGCCTGGTTGAATTGATGTTTGCAGACATGGATGAACTCGTTGTTATGCAAACTAACTCTAGGGGGTCCTTAGGGGACGAAATAGGTGTAGGAGGCAACAGAGGGTGCTTCAGTAGGCCTGCTGAAACCTAGAAAAATTTTCTAGAAAAATCTTTAAACAAAGAAATTTTGTGTAAATGAAATCTTTGTATAAAAAAGACTTTTATACGTTTTCATTTAGATATGATTGAAGCTTTTCAGTCAGTTTTTTATACATTTTTCTTTGTTTATTTTTTTACTTTTAGTATGTTTTTTTTTCTTATAATAACTACTTAGTGATGAATGTTAATATTTATCGATGCTTAAACCTTATGAATGATTGTTGGTCATTTTTTTATTTATCATGACCCAACACAAGTCTTACACTGTCTGCCTTATTTGCTCGGGCTAATTGTCACCTTGGTTGGGACGTACCTTTCGTCGGGACTTGAGCGGATGTTGTCACTGCCTTCGTGGGGACATCCACGGAGACTTGCCACTGAGGTGATTTGCTCCATACTCTTTGTGAAGCTTATGACTATTAAGCATGGAATCTCCTCCAGATCTTTGTCCACATTGAGCCTTGAGACAGAATTTTTTATGCTTGACATTGCGAGTCTGATTTTTTGTTTGGAAGTCGATAGGATATTAATGTCGTCACTGTCAATTTTTCTGATATTGGCGACCGACTTGCTTCTTACAATTTTCAAGGTCTCGATTGCTTGGTTCGATCATCGCCTCGATTAGGTAAAATCTTTTGCAAGGACCTGGGCGGATCTTATTGCTGCTTTTGTAGGGGTAACCGACAAGACTTGCTACTGGGGTGAATTGTGTTATACATTTCAAGGAGTTTATTACAACTGAGCAGAGAACCACCTCAAGAGCATTATTTGACTTAATCTTGGAGACCAATATTTGCGATGCAACAACGTTATGGGTTGTTTTGCCGATCGAACAACTTTGGTGCCATTGTTGGCATTTGCTACTAGGATTCAAATTCATTGAGTGTCAATTAGAACTGAAAAATATTATAGAGATTTATGCATCATAACACGATAAGTTTTGAAGCAATACTCCCTTTCTTAGTTAGATAAGTTGTTAGCAGCCAGGAGTCAACCGAACATTGCACTGGTATGGTTGGTCGGCTTGTTCTGATTGTTGAAAGCTGGCTATCTATTTTGCGGTACTCGGCTCCTAGCTAAAGCTTCTAAGAAAGCAACTGAAACTAGCTTTTCTACTCCAAATCTATTGTTGCATTGAGCATTTTGGTGTCCTCCCTGTTAGGAGTGTCTCTACAATATATTTCTCCTTATTGATGTTATTTTCCTTCTTGTTGGCAACATGCTCCACGCTCACCGTACATTTCAGGTTGTTGATTTCAAATTTTTCCTTTGAGGCATGTCAAAGGATCAGAGCAATACAAAACTTGAGGAGGTAGAGAGAAACAATGAGGGAGAAAGAATGAAAGAGCGCATATAGACTTATCCTATAAGGGAAAACGCCAGTACTCCCGGGCTCTATGATGCAATTTATATATTATAACTGGGGGGGTTAAAAGAGAGAATGAGAGAGATATCCCCCTTCAAAGTGGGTTTAGAGAGAAGGGCCTACAGAAGTCCAAGCTTAGAGAGGCCAAAAACCTTTAATACATGATATAGACCCTCTATTTATAAGAGATAGAGGGTCAAATGTGTAAAATTACATGTTTGTCTCTGATTTAATTGGGGATTTTATGGATAATCTTGTCTTTTGTTGTGCATTTTCATATTTATAACTGATTCTGATACCTTTTCGTATGGACGCCGATCAACCTATGCTTTGGGAAGTCAGTTAGCTTTTTGTCTGAATACCAGCCAACCTTCGCTCTGAGAAACTAGCCGACTTTGAATATGATAGCCATTCAGACTTAGGGAGGTCAATCAACTAGCTTGATTATCATTCTTGATGATTTTTAGAGATATTTGAGTGATTTATTAAGAGAGCGCTTCATGTCGATAATTTTGATCTTGTTTGGGGTTTAGATCTTGGATCGGTCATTGGCGCAGACACCTTTCTTGTAGGCTTGGGTGGCCATTTGGTTGTCGAACTGACCTTCAGTTGATCAGCAGTCCTTCGGTCGGTCGTCATCCCTTCGGTCGGTTGGCTGTCAGTCGGCTGACGGCCTTCAACTGGTTGGCTCTATGGATACTTGTAGTATTTCGTCATAGGGATGATCCTTTTTTATCTCTTTTAATTTTTATCATCAATTTGTCTCAAGATTTGTGAGATCATTTTTATTATACATTCATATTTTTCTATAATGAACACAATACACAAGCCAAAATCAGCTTCTGCAGTCTCATATTATTAAAAAAAAGAAAAATAATTTGCAACAAAAAATCATTTATGATGCGAGCATATTTAAACACTTATATTAAGTATATTGCACCTGATATGAGCTTTATTCATGCATACAAGAACACACCCGACTTGGCGTCACTCACTTCCGGCTCGCCGACGGTTCGCCCTCCATCAGCATCTCCTCGTTGTGAAAGACCGGCGACACCGGTTCGCTCGCCGGTTCAATTCTCTTTTTCCCTCCGACAACCGGCGCACCGGTTCCCTCGCCGGTTCAATTCTCTTTGTCCCTCCGACAACCGGCGTCGAAGGGCTGCTTGACGACTCGCCGGAAGTCAACCCCGCGCAGACCGGTGTCGGCGGCTCGCTGGCCGAACCGAACCTCTGATCGCCGCAGCAAGCCTCCCCCTCCAGAACTCCACATTCCACTTCGCCGCCTCCATCCCGCCGCCTCTCTCGACTTCCACCATCACTAACTCCGGGGAAAGACGGAAAACATCCACCCAAGCGATGAGGGCCCCCATCCTCCCCTGCACGGCAGCGCTGCCTCGACCCTTGAATCCCCTCAGCCGCCGGCGAACCACGAGCCCCTCTTCCCTCCCCACCGTCTCCACTCTCTCCAGCACCGCCTCAACCGGTCCTGCCGAGATGAAACGCTGCAGAGCCTCCACGGTTGGATTGAAGAAGCCGGAGAGGTTGAATCTCGGGTTCAGGGAGATGATATCGAAGGCATTGAGATCTCTATCATCGTCTTCCTCATTTTCCCTCTCGACCCTAGATATTCGCTCCTCGATATCCTCCCGGAATCTCATCAATTTAAGCATGTTTCCCTCCTCTAATCCCCTTCTAAACCAGGGATCATTCAGAATCCCCTCGATGGTTATCCTCGTCCCCGGATTTGTATCGAGGAGCCTGGAAAGCAATTGCCGGAGCTCCGGAGAAATCCATCTAGGGCATCGGTACTCACCGCGGTAGATCTTACGGTACAATGCCATCAAATTGGGATCATTGAAGGGGAGATATCCAGCATTGAGGACGAATAGGATGACACCGCAGGACCAAATGTCGACCTTAGCGCCTTCGTATCCCCTTCTTGATAGAATCTCTGGGGCAACATAGGCTGGAGTGCCGCAAAGGGTGTGAAACAGGCCATCAGAGCGGATCTGTTCCGCCACCGCAGAAAGGCCGAAATCGGAGACCTTGAGATTACCAGAATCATCGAGTAGCAAATTCTCAGGCTTCAGATCACGATGAAACACACCTCGAGCGTGGCAGAATGCGACGGCGAAGATGAGTTGGTGGAAGAATCGCCGGGATTGGTCTTCGGGAAGGCGGCCGCGGGAGACGTGGGAGAAGAGCTCGCCCCCCTTGACGTACTCCATGACAAAGTAGATATTGGAGTGGGAGGCGAGGACTTCAAGGAGGCGGACGATATTGGGGTGGCGGAGGCGGCGCATAACGACGATCTCACGCTTGGTGTTGACGACGAGACCGCTGCGGATAACCTTTGCTTTGCTGATGATCTTAATGGCAACATTGTGGCCGAGGGGAATGTGGCGGGCGTGATAGACTTTGGCGAAGGCTCCGACGCCGAGGAGACGGCCGATTTCGTACTTTCCGAAAAGGATCTTCGCCGACGCCGCCGGTGGGGCGACGCCGGAGGAATGCATGAATGGGGAGTCGTTCGGCCTTGAGATATTTTCGTTCAATTTCGGGGCCGACGACTCCAGCTCTGCTCCAAATTTAGGAGGAGAGGAGGAGGAGGGCGGGAGGGAGGAATGCTTCTATTGGTTTTGTTCATTGGCGGTTTGGAACAGAGCACGGGGTTCTCGGGAGAATTTATGGACGAAAGAATGAGAGAGTTATACATATATATATATATATATATATGTATATATATATATATGTATGCATTTGGTGGAGGTTTGGAGGCAGGCGTATTGAACGAATTAATGCATTCAACGATAAGCTGTTTATTTGTTTTATTTAAAGCTAATCCTTATTTGATGACAAGATTTAAGCAAGTCACATGAGATTGAAAAATGGAGGGAGATGCATGTAGTTGGGGGAACTTAAGTGCTACAAATGATATGTAAGAAATAGATTTAATATCTTAAATTATATTCTAAATAATAATAATAAGGGTGATCCCAATGCTTAAATAATTGAAAAAAAATTTGTTGTTCAAAAGGAGCTTTAATGCTCTCTCTTTCAATTTGATATGTATAAATATTGCCGCTGAATGTTGTACATTTACGAACCATTTGGGGCAGCTTACAAGTGCGGGGCCATTTTTGAAAAAGTCGTGGTACCATTTGAATCGCTCGTTTTGACCGCTTATCCGAAAACGCGGTTACATTTTTATACTAAACGCAGGCCGCAAGTCGAACTTTATGGTCAACCAGCGGCCGCATTTCAGGATAAACTGCTTATCCTAAAACGTACAAGCTGCCCCAAACACACCCTTAAATATCAAATTTTAGGTGTGAGATATTATTGAATTTAGAAATATAAGTGAACTCAGTGTACATAAATAGAGTTTGTAAGAGGAGAAATAAAGAAGATTACTTATTAGTTGATCTAATAAAATGGGGAAAGTCTCCATCCCTTGAGGTTGACCTCTTCTATTTATTGGCTAAGGGGTTATCGCGCTCAAGAAATGTTGCATAAATGGCCACATAAAGGGAAAAATTGAACAACTTTAAGTACAATGAAATACGAAGCTCTGTGTAGGGAATGTCTTCACAAGTATATGGGAAGGTGCGAGTTGCAGTCTTACCGAAGTTAAGGTGAATTGATGAAGGCCATTGAGTTGCCGACCTATGCCAACCTGTGATATCTTTGAATGTGCTCAAAATATTTTTGGTTTCCATCACGTCTGAAATGCTCCCGCGTTCCGCTGATCCATAGACATTTATTGATATATATTTATTTTTTAGACGACCTTATTTGTTTGTTATTTACTCATGAAGTACGACGTTGCATTTTGATGAGAACTTGTTCTCCTTGCCAAGTTGATGTGAGTTGCGACCTTGTTGAATTAAGGCAAACTGATGAAGGTGGTTGAGTTCTTGAGACTTATGCCAACATATGATCTCTTTGAATATGCTAGTAATATTTTTGTTTCTGTCACTTGCTTGAAACACTCTCACTTTGCGCTCATCCATAGACGCTTATCGATATACATTAATACAAAAAAAAAAATTGTGATATGCATGTAAGTTGCCCTTTTTAACTTTTTTAGTTTTTTTTTCAACTTTATACGTGTTATATTCTATGGAAATCATTTTACTAAAATTATAAATATAATAAACACTAATAATAATCCATTATTACATAATACTATTTATTTTTTTAATGACATTTGATATTATACTATTGAAGATTAAACATTATTGCCAAGAATATAGTCTGACAAATCTTTTTACCAATTTGACTCTCAATCTACTTCTTACAAGTTATGAAAATCTATAGGACCTCACTCATATGTTTCATACTGTACACTCAAATACATTAAGAGTAATTATCGATGAAAAGAAAAAATATATTTGCCTGTCGAATGATGTTGTTTTCATCAAACCCTAAAAATCTGTGTGAACATGCTTTCTAAAATATCATTTATATTGTAGATGATAGTATTAAAGAATACTCGTGTCTTCTTGACAAACACATAATGTTCACAGAAATCAAGTTTGATGCTGACATTCCTTTGATCAATCTTTACTTCACCAAAGCTTAAAGTGAAGCCTCTTCAACATGAACTAATCATATATTCAACAATGTAGTGGCATCAAAAGAATTATCAACAACAACAGTCATTCCAATCACTGTATTATCCTAAGATAGTAAATGTTGTGATGACAAACTTCATAAAAATCCATGATCAACGACATATCCTCATAACTCATGTCTCAATAACTATCTTGTACCTCTTACCTCTTAGGCTCCAATTGATAGCATATTATTCCTAATATCCAAAAAATGTGTCTAACATTAGTCAACTCCCTTATAGTACATCATGCATATTAGTAGAGATGCTACCTATACTAATAGTTGACAATTTTAATCATTGCCCATATATACTCCAATGCCATCAAACTTTTTGAATGTACAGAACCACTCTCGATGGGAATGAATATGATAGGTAGCAACTGTTTCTAGACTCTATCAAGAATCATGTATACAAATAATGAGAAACTGCAGATAACAATATATATGAATTTACCTCGTCACTCTTATGAATAATATGATTGGCTTTTGCCTCAGAGAAAAATTCATTTTCTCATTCTCCTTCTACCTCTGACAATCTTTCTTTTAATGACCAGTCTTAAAATATAAGTCATGTTTTTTTTTGTAAAGACTAAGCCAACAAGGACTTATCTTAATTTTGAGAAGTATCGATGTTGTCACCCTTCTTTGCCTAGTTTTTTTTATTCTCGGATCTGTCATGTTGAAGTGTAAATGTCTCAACCAACTCCATCTTTGTGGATTGCTTTTCCTTTCGATAAAACTCATGACTTAATAATTTTGTAGTATCCTTGCCATAATTCAGACCTCCATCTCATAAATGAGTGTTGTCTTGAAGTTTTCATAGTCTTCCGGGAGCGAACTCAATACAAGAAGTGTCTTTTCTTCATCTACAATCTTCTCATCCACAAATTCAATAACCCTATCAAAAACTTTATAAAATCATTCAAGTACTCGCTAATAATAACCCTGCATATTATTTGAAACCTATAGATTTGATGTTTCATATGAAGATGTTTCCCCACACTTTTCATGATATATTTGTTCTTTAGTGTCCTCCACAATTTTTATATAGAAGTCTTCATCATCGCCCCATAAATGATCTTCTGAGGCAAGAAATTCCATATCAAGACACAATTACTTCGGTTTATCCTTAATCAATCTCTTTTGATATCTCTCCAAGATGCTCATCGCTATCTAGAACTTTCTCCATATTAAAAAACTGTAACACATCCGTCATTTCACATCGTCACAAACCGAAGTCCTCTTTATCATCAAATTTCTTCATATCAATCTTGATAGGATGTCTAATCATTTCAAGAATTGATGCAATTTCCACAATCCTGATGGATGCAATTTTTTTTGCCCAACTTGCTCCGATCTTTTTATCTTAAATCAATAACTTTGCCAGAATCTCAGTTGCTCATTGCCAGAATTGTCAATCTGGCTCTGATATCGATTGTTATGCAAAATAATGCAAAAATAAACAAGATGCCTATGTTCATGAGGAGATGTTATTCAACTATCAATAAGTTGGTTTAAAACTCAACACACACACCAAATCCTCCATAATCTCCTATGTAAATAAAAGATGTTTAGAGCATACAAAATATGAATATTTCAAATAAAGGAAATATCATGCAATTTGATTTCCTTTAATTAGGTTTCACAATACAGAAAAAATTATATTACTAGATCTCCTCAAATAAGATTACCTATTATCAATCTACTTAATTTACACACTTCCTAATTTACAACAACTAGATTTAATATTTTACATAACACGTGTACACACATCATCTATAAAATAGTTCCACCACGTCGAAATGGTCTCATTTATTTACAACTTTGGGTCGGCCTATGATAAGCTGGATAAGTCACCATGTAAAAAAATAGCAAATACAATTTTTCAAATTAAAATAAAATAGCAAGGCACATAACCTGATGACAAGATTGATCTGTCCAACTAATTCTCTGAATTTATCGACAAAGTTGATCGACTAACCTGACATGTTGAACCACATCATTTTAGCAAAAGTTGGCTCACCACAAAAACTTGGCTATTCATATGCACAAATATGATTCCTAAAGCTAAACTAAACCTAAATTAGGAGTTACATTCATTAATAATTGTTAATTAAAAAAAATTGAAACATAATTTTAAGCGTGGAGTATATTGAAAATATGCACTTTAGGCCAAAGACTATTGGTCATTATTGTGAGGAGAAAAAAAAAATCTTCTAATTTGACTAATTATTTATTCTGATATCTATAAAATTAATTTTAAATCTCGGCATCTAAATATTTATTTAAATTTCTGCTCATTTTTTCAATGATGCAATGTAAAATAAATTCTTAAGCCTTTAAATCATCATTAAATGAGCATTTTATTGAACTCTTTTTGAATGACACTTAAATAATGAGCGATTATGTTCACAAACATGAAGGAATGAGCTAATCATTATTCATATTTGTTAAATTTTTTATTTTACGTGGGCTCACAACATCAATGAAAGAGTTTGGTATAGAAAGATATGAGCAATAAAATATGAGAGAATGAGAGGAGTAAAACTTCTAATATCCAGAGATCCCTCCTTTGTATTATAATGATCTCTATATTTATAGAGAGATGGACTATATGTTACAAATAAAATACTCATTACACAAATCGCAAGAGATCTTTATTATATCCTTGATGTCCTCTTATGACATTAGAGTTTTAATTAACATTATCTTAGTAATGTCTTGCATAAGTAATCATATCATATAAAATGTTTTTTCTTGAACTTTTATTTCCGGCAATGCTTCTACTGGCCAACTCGACCATGGATCGAGTTGATCTTCTTGGACAAATTCATCTTAAAGGGAGTTTGACCAACTCAGTCGCAGAGTGAGCTGTTCTTTTTGAGAGAATTTTTGTGCATAATCGACCGAGAAATTGTGTATTAATCACCATAGGCAACCTATGGTGTCGACTTCCCTAGTCGAGTTAATTGGTTAATTGATCAAATTGAGCAATCTAATCAGTTCAATGAGCTAACTTTA